ATTATTATTATTACTATTATTATTATTATTATTATTATTATTATTATTATTATTATTATTATTGCCATTACCATATATGCATTTAGTAGACAATCGGTCCCCAAGTCGGTTGTTCTATTTTTTTTCCTGCTATACTGTGCTGGCGAGAACCAACCAGGTCGAGACCGCTGTCCACGGTTGCCACTGTTCGCTTTCAGTTTGGACTCTATCATGTCGTTGTCCCGTTAAGCTTTCCACATAGTAATCAGCCTTGCTTCATTGTCACGTGATAGAACAGATAGGCATCTGGTTAAGCCTGGTGGTGATTACTGATGATGGATAGCTGTTATCATCTTGTTTTTTCCGGGCCTTTTCCCTGCAAGAGCCTACAAGTGAAATAGGGCCTTTTGGATAGTTGTGTCTCACATTATTAAAGCTGCTTACAGTCGACTTTTCTTCTATATCTAATTATGGAAGGAACTGACGTAATTTTAAACATTTTCTCCTCGCACTCGGCACATCTTCGTCGATGCATGCGCTTTCCAATTCCCTTGAAGTGTTGAAAAATACATCCTGGCCAACTTCCTCAGCCAGTCAAAGCAGTAGCAAGATCAGTATATCTTTAAACTGATTCCGCAACAACAAATTAAATAACAAGGGTCCAAGAGGAAGTAAAAGTAATATGTCCGCGGATTGAAAAAGAACACGTTTATATAAAGTTTCACTGGAGCTTAATATACTGATCTATACTTTATAGCCTGCCTGGTAAGGCACAGGAAATTATCATGATCAGTGTCAGTTGTCAGCTGGCAGTGCGTGTCAGGAAGGGTGTATCCCTGTTTTCCTTCAGGCGCTTATTTTTATTCGTGCAGCATGCAATACGGTACGGTATTGGACCGGGTAAAGTTTCGACAATTCTTTGTCACCGTTATGTACGTTGTAACCTGTGTAATAAATCTCTCATTACCCAAACTTACCTGAGTACCTACTCTGTCGATCGGCCACAAGGCTATTAGGTCTCGTTGACTCTGTCTTGACCGTGCGGATCGAAGGGGCCAATATTCATCTGGCACAGCCCTAGCTATATTTAACATTGATTGACGGTAAATCAAGGCCCACCTTGCCGCCAACGTGAAGGTTTGGAGCGCTGCATACTTAAGAAATGCTAAAAGGAAAATAGACTGTTGCAAAACAATGGCTGTTTTTGCATTTTGCAGCCAGAATACGATCTTATCAACAGTTCAATAACGTTACAAACACAAATCAACAGCCGCTCTTGTAAGATCAAGACCTTTTAAGTGTTTTTAAAATGCTGATGTAAACGCACTTTGGACCCGGTCATAGCACATCCACGTGTGCCGGCTGACTCATAGGTACGCCATAATTATTGGGCAATGGAATCATAATAAATGAGACACAACGTAATTTATGCAAGACAAGCCATTTGGCCTTTATCATTAGCCGTTTGGCTACATCAATTAACACCCTAGAAGCTTATGATTCGTTAGTCACGCTTAACTGAGGGCAAAGCTTGCTAATCGTGAATTGTATTTCGTTGAGCCTAATAAGTAGTTGTCAATTCACTCCGGTCGATGCTTGTGTTAATGGACAATAACTTCAATAAATAACCGATATATATAGATACTTTTGTGTTTGTGAACCTATTGACAAGGTTATCTAAGTGAAACATGATACACAACACACGCGGGGGAGCCTTTGAAGTCACGCAAACGACATGGGCCAATATAATATCCGGACTGAATTTTTAATAAGGTACCCTACGCGGAGAATAATTTGTAGAAACAGTACCTGATTTTAAACGGATTGTCTTTGGAAATTGAGCAAAGAAATGGCCGATTGCCCAGCCATGCAGATAGATGAAGAGAGTGCCGCGGTGCCCATGGCAAATTGGGAGGCGGAGGCCATTCATGATTACGGGAAAACCTATGCGCGCAAATATTCTGACTTCAGAGACGATCAAGCGACGGTTTGGACGAGCATGTACGAGAAAAACCTTGGAAGAAAGGTCAGTCGCTTACCGCCGTGGGAAGTCTCTCAAACTGGTCGAAAAGACAGCTCTGAAAAACACTTTGGTGATCCAAACAAGAAGGACTTTGCATCCGTTCACTTGGAAAGGGCTGCCGATGCGGGTGCGCTTAGCCACAAGAAGCATTTTGACACGGCAGAGCACCGGCGAGCAAAGAGGAAGGTTAAGAAAACGCGAAGCGGCGGCTCCGATTCAAGCAAAGAAGGGGATGCAGCGAGCAAAGGAAAGAGCGACAACGAGAGGAAATCATCGCTTTCCGAACAAGATGGGGAACAAACGACTGCGAAGAGTGAATAAACTTGAGACTTGAACTTATAATACAAGTAGCACTGCTCAGCAATTTTCTTCTCTCTTCAAACACGGAAATCGAGGTACTCCTAGTCAACTGATCTGACATAAGTATTACATCTTGTTCACCAAGCGTAATGAACTAAACATAAGTTTTTAATCCAGTCATAAATGCTGTTTGAAAGTTGGGAAATTCGTTGAGCCGGTGTTTTAATATGAAGGCGACTTCGCGGGATATTAAAATCCGTTTGAAATATTTGGTTGATAAAAATTAAGAATGCGCGCAGTTGTGATTTTATTCACTCTTTTCGATAGCTTTGTAAATACAAATTTTTACCAGTCCAGGAAGACTGAAATATTTGACTTTGCTTTACGAAAAGTGTGGACACTCTCAGTACATTAAATTATGACAGTATCATGAAATTGAGCGCGTTGAAAACACGTGAAACAGACAATGTCGATCTCACCGAAGACAAAGGCTCCCCATTACACTAAGTAAACACCTGTATATTTCGCTTATTTGTGTCAAGTAACGTAGTGTTAAAAGCACTTTCTTAAAGTGCCTTCAACAGTAGACATTTTCGTCAATATTTTAGAAGCGTGACCGCGGCGCGGTCTGTTCTTGCTCCTCTGAAAAGAATATGATCATTGCGTTGATGTAAAACATAAATTGTTTTTAATGAGATTAATAAATTTTCGCCACACAAGGAAGGAAGTGTCCTAGATTGATAAGAAAGTGTTCTAGTTTCGTACTTTTCTTGTAAAGTGTGATTGTGATCTCGCAAATATTTCGATGGAAGTATTAAAACAACAAGATTTGAATATGCATAATTACCATTAAGTGTTGATGTGAAGTGTACATTGGGAGACAGTCTCTGAACCGCTATTATATTAAGAGTCAAACCAAGTTTCACTCGTATGATAACACAGCCATGAACTTTGACTTCTTCGTGGACACCGCAAATCGATTAATGTGACAAACGTCTATGAAACGTGAGCAGAAGTCAAAACTGAGTGGGACGCAATCTTCAAGCGAGCTTATCTTTGACCATCTTTCCGGTGTGGCAATTGCAAGGCATCAGCCATCATCGATTTCAGGTCAAGTTTGAAATGCATTCTAATACGCGCAAAAACGGGACAGTTTATTGCAATTAGATCATTTTACGGTATATTTGTTAATCTTTTTCCCTCAATTTTTACGATCTCAGGAACTTCTGTGAACATCTGTGATCCGCCTATGACTCAGTTTTATTTATTCTGTATGCAAATTTTAGTGCACACACAGATAAGATAAAGCTCTTAGCAAAACCTGTCACTGCAAGTTCAACCAAAGCCAAATATTCTTTAGCATGGACGCGGGCAAATCGGATCAACGAGATGCGGAATCGGAGGCGTTAATTTTAACAGGAAAACGTCTAGATCTAATATTAGTTTTGTTTGTCACGAAAAACAAAGGCTATTGCTAAATGAAATGAAATGAGGAGTAAATCACTCGGTACAAATTAAAGAAACACAAAAGAAGCTTTCGACTGGTAATTTTCTTGAAGGAAATTAGAAACATCACGCCTGTTTTTCAGAGTTATAGAAACAATCGTCAAAGTTGGTGAAAGCTCAAGACAGCTGTGGAAGCACTCGCCTGCGGCTTGTATTTCGGTAATTTTCACAGTATTTTCCTATCTTTACAACCCACGCCTAAAACGTAATGATATGGACACACGGAAATTTGTTTAATGTATTTTCAAAACTATATAAATGACAGGTATTTTTGGTAAAAAAAA